TTCTTCCGTAGTCAATAAAGCACTCAGTGCAGAGCTGTTACAATGAGGTGCAGGCACCACTCCTCATCCCCTGTTACGGTGGACTTCAACTAATTATCCGCGTATAGTAGAGCAATTCAGTGGCCACCTCTGAACGTCGCGCGATCGCGTTCACTCTGCTGATGAGTCACCAATTGTGCCATTGTACATCTTGCCAAGCCGATGTAGATGACCGGCGACGGTAGTTGAGTGAATATTCAAAACTTACGCTAGTTCACGCGTAGTCTGCCACAGATCCGCCTCCACCAATTGCCGCAAACAATCATTGCGGATCGGGATACATTCCGACCGTACAGGAACTCCAAATCTAGAGTTTCCTCGCGAAAGCGTATGAATCAAACTCAAGCAGTGCCTTTAGATGCAGTGCTTTCTCCAAATGCAGCGGTAACTGGATAACGCTGGTGATTCGCCAGACTTGAAGTCGTGCAGTAGAAAACCACGAAGGTACTGTTGCGGAGCCTCCATCTTGCAGAAATGACATAGGCTCGAATTTAAAGCTCCTAGCGACGGTCATCTTGCACAGACGTGTCCTCCTTATATATATATATATACATATATATTATATACAAGTAATAATGCTGGAAGTAATTGCACAAGTAGAAAATGTGCGGCTAAAAAACCGCAAGAGCTTCCCCTATAACCTATATACAAGCAGGCGATAAAACACTGACAATGATGCCCATACAAACATATTTTTGCTTTTAATAGCCCGGTGGAGGATCCCTGCCAGTTTTGCTTCATGATACATGCAGAGCCTATAATCGGGTCAATCAAGAGAAACTGATCTAGTGTTTTACTAACCATTGCTAATTTAAGCATATTCTTTTCTACAAATGCAGCATGGTAATCAGAGACCACATCTTCGTCTGCGCCACCATAACGTCTCCCTGAAAAAATGGCGCGGAACATTTTCGAGAAAAAAGCATTTTATCTTGAAACAGCTTGCAGAATTTTTCTCTAGGTGTGCGCTGTCTCTTTCACTGGGAGCATTCCGCTTTTACTCACGCTTATTATTCGAGCGCTCCCCAAGTAATATGACTTCCACCAAAAAATTTCACTCAATTTTTCACACACATATACGAGGAGAAGTACCGTCAGGATAGTGGGTCGTAAAAAGGATTGTTGGGGTATTCCCAGAGCGCTCACCTTCAGTCCAAAGCATTTTGTTATCATCAGCGTACCAAAGCATCGGGCTGTGGCAAGATATATCCTTAATAATAGGCTGAGAATAATGCTGCCTTCCTTCAAAATGGTTCATCGACTCACCTTGCTCATAGATCTCAGCAATTCCGCGGATTTTTTCGGAAGATTATATGGAGGTGGAGGTAGACTCAACTTCCGATTCTTCTTGTACGGAACAACAAATTTCGCTACTGCTAGTGCAATGCCTAATACCACAATTGCAACTATTCCAATAATAACAAACAGCAGGGAGTCAGTGTTTGAACTTTCCTGTGGGCTCTCCTTACCAACAAATTGTCCTATAATTGTTTTTCTCATCAAAATTAATTACGCGATTGAATTACTAGGCCAGCCCCTCGCTCTACTTGGACTTCTCTACCACTCCAATGCGAATAAAGTTTCTAGGTCTAAATACGAGAAGAGAGGAAAGTTTGCGACTGAGCAAAAAAGACTCTTGCGGCTCAAGGATTGCAAATATGACTTTCAAGAAATCACGCATGCTCACCGCGTTGCGCACACAGCATGGTTCTGCGGCGACCTGGGATGGTGCGGTATAAATTCTTAAATTTGGCCCAATACACTTCGAATATTTGACTTTCAAGCTGAATTCTGTCCGAATGCCCCACACCTTATACCTTTTACCCTTCCCTTATTCATCCACCAATCCGTCCCTTTTTTCCTGTCTTGGACTCCCTCTGGACCGATTTCTAAATTATTTCTTTGCATGTCCCACTATCTTTTCTTCTTCGCCAACATCTCCCCACTTTTTTTACACGATCTGCATACCATCTCTGAGCCGATTTCTATTACTAGCGGCGAAGTTCGCTTTTTTGTGTATCTTCCGAACACCTTCGGAAATTCCCTTCCTTTCTTCGTCCACTTCTCTATCAGTCTCCCGAACTTTTTGAAACCGAGTTATGAATTTTTGCAAATAACTCCTCCCATCCACCCACTTCAGACATGCACCGCCCAGCGATGACAGTTGACCTTCACCCCTTCACCCACCTCTATCCATCTTTTCCCGGTCTCCGGGACTGCCAGGAATAGAGTTGTGAATTTTCTTCGCAAGCTCCGCTCACTTGGGTGCACGTCCCACCCACCAATAACAGTTGACTTCCTTTCCGTAGGCGGACACAATCTACTTTTTTCCCGGTCTTCAGGACTTCTTGAAATCGAGTTATGAATTTCCGCGGACTCCGCCCACTTCGGACATGCCCTGCCGCCGATGGCAGTCGACCTCGACTCCCTCACCCATCCACCCATTTCCCAATCTCTGGAACTCTTGAAGCGAGTTGAACTTCCGTCGCAAACTCCGCCCACTTTCGTCAGGCCTAGCCCACCAAGGACAGTTGACTTCCACTCCATCACCCACCTTTATCCAATTTTTTCTGACTCCCTAACACTTTTTCCCGAATTATGAGTAACTGTAGAAAATGCCGCACAATTCAGAGCGTGCTCCGCCCATTGTGGGCGGACTTCCACCTACGTCATGTATGCTGAGAGCACCTTAGACGTTACTCCCTACACCGATTTGTTTTCTGCTCCGTAGGCTCTCTCCCAACCGAGTTATGAAATTTTTCATAAACCACTGCATTTTTAGAGAACGCCCCGCCTTTTAGGCGTGGGACTCCCTAATTCGATGTGACTTACCAATTCACGCGTTTGCCCACTTTTTTGGCCTAGTTTCAGGGTTGTTTTGTCATTTAATTCGAAATCTTGGTCGTCAGTACAGTTCATTTCGATGCACGCCACGCCCACTGTAGGCGAGGCTCCGCCCAGGTGATATTGCTTTTTACTTCGTGAGATTTTGCCCACTTTGCCCGGTCTCTCCGGGCGGATTCTCAGGCGCTAGGGAGTTTCGAGACAGACATACAGAACGAGAAAGCGACAGAACGACAGAAAACAGACGAGGGGTTTCATATTAAGTAGGATCATATCCAGTGCTCATATTTACAACGGGTTTGCTTACGCTGGCTTTGCCCTCAAAATAGCATAAATACGTGTACGCCTTAGAGAATAACCTTTTAATATGAAAAGTCTTTATCAAACATGGCACAATCTATTAGGCTGCCACAATAACAAGCACTGTTTTGTACAAATGGGTTGTTTTGTACAATCCTCCAACATAATAATAAATCATTTCGCTCATCCCTATTATCCGAATAAGCGCTTTCAAAATCAACTGCCAATCATCAGTCAATTTTCAGATAATGAGCGGATGCCGTTGTGGCACAAAATAGCTTCCAGGATTGTGTGAATTTTGTGTGTAGACGTTTCCGAGTTTCGATACATTCTGCTTGAAGGCAAAGCTTGGGCTGAAACCCACTCAAAAAGCCCCTAACGTGGCTAGAAATGCTAGGCACGCGAATGCAGAGGCGTCACCTTCCTGCATTGAAACGCGTCGCTAAGATGCTAGGCGCATGAACTTCTCACAGAAACCACCCAGCCTAGCATGGTCAGCCCACCTTTCGATATCTTGTCTGCGTCCCTTACTTGATCTGCTATGCTCCCTCTACTCGGACTTCTCTACCACTCTCCGCGCTCACATTATCCCTCGCCTGCCTTCTGAACTTTTCCGCAGCGCAGAGCAAAAGGTTCGCATTTCCCGTGCATTTCGCGATTTTTTCCTTCTTTCTCCGCTGGTGGTTCACCTTCCATCTCCACTGTTAGGTTTGAGTAGAATTCTCATCAGTCCAATCCTGATTCTTCCCTTCAATATAGTGACATAGCAAGCATCAAGCGTTCGACAAAACAGGCGGTCAGAACTTGCAAATGCCAAACGAAAACAGTGGATGAGGTAGAAATCAATGATGAGCCACGATAATTTTGGTAGATAACTCTCGATGTGTGCATTACGTCATAATAGAATAGAAGGGCTAAAGGTTCGAATCTTTGAAATGAAGTTACTTACACCAATGGCACATGGTCTAATTCGAGGCGGAACTCTAACTAATAAAGCCTTCAGGTGGGTCCGATCAATTGCAGTGGCTGGTAATCACTGCATCCATCTGAGCTGATTACTAAGCAATGAGGTGCTTTCTACAACCGCTAAACAACTCACTGAACAGAGCTGAAGAAATTTCCTCCCTCACTGTTTAACATGCGCCCCTCATCAAAACTGCCTTCAACTGCTTGATGCAGACATCTATAGGTAAGCGCTGATGCGGCGATGACGTCAAATGTTTTGCTAGCTATGCTAACGACGGCAAAAAATCTCAAAGAAGCAAATCCAACGATCTACACTGATCTACACTACGATAGCCCTTACCACTATCACACTGCGTTTCCTCTTCAGAGCTGTTTTCAGTAATCGCTTAGAAGAAGCAGTACCGAGCTCAAGGTATACGCAACGGTGTACAAGGCACCTCCAATGGTTTGACAAAGTAAGACGTTTCCTGGTCAGTGCGCAATAGGTCGTTTCTTGCATAGTTCCAGCTGTGCAAGAATTTTAAAGCTTTGAAATATGATGGCGCGCAAATCTTGGTCCCTATTAGTAAATTCAACACTATGTTCAACGTTATACAAAAATGAAGAAAAGTGTATAGCTCGTCATACTCTGTGGCAGACTAGAGTTGCTCGGTATGATGTATGAGTAGCTGCAGACCCGACCCCAGCCGTGAACAACACCATTCTTGGAGGGAAGGGTATCCATGACGGGATCGAAAAAAGTAGAATTCTTGAAGATCAGCTGGCAGCTTATCAGGCTGCCTGCTTGGATGAAGGCAGATTGTTGTTTGTTGGAAAAATACCAAGTGAGTGAGATCTTGAAATCTTTGAAGATTACTTGGGCGAGCTCAAAGGAGCTCGGTGTTATCTGCTTCTTCCCATGCAGCAAGACTCCGTGCCGCTTGCTTCTCGTATGAGGACGACGATCATTTCGTAATGGTGAGAGTGCCCTATACAGAAGTCTTAATGACATCCATAAAGAAAGAGTTGATGAAAGGGCAGAAGGTCGATCTCGTCAAGCAAAAAGTTATCGCAGGAAAGAAGGTCGGTTACCTTTAGGACAAATGACGTAGTGATAGAAGTTTTCTTCACCTCTCCATCTGTCATCATATTCTCCAATGCGCACTAAAACCCTTTAGGCTTTTTTCAGGTGTTTGTCGACAAATCGCATTCATCACATTTTGAATTTTCATTTGCATTTATTGACATGGAAAGGTGTCAGCGGTTGATTGCATTGACACATGCGCAGTTTTTTACATAGCGATGAAGGTTTCTGCGTTGAAAATGCGCCACCTGCAAGCGCTGCTTTGAACAGGCAGCAAAGAGAAAATCCATCAGAGTTTCATCTTCATGCTAACCCTACCTTCCTAGCCTTCGTCTTACAAGTGTTCGTCTTGCTTCGGTCGTACTTGCTTCTTCCTTATTATTTATTCTGCGCCTGTTACGCTCAAACATCTGTGGATCAAGCAGAAGAAAAGGACACCAATGAAATGGTTTCAAAAATTGTGCAATCAATTTTCAAGCTACTGTGCAAGAATTGGTGCTTCAGAGCTTTGTCTCCTCGAGCATTATAATGCGCTCAGAAATGAAGAGCGAGAACTAATCGATCCTTAAGGAGGATCAATGGAAGAAATTAAAATTGGGTACGGCAATGCGCTTGAAGGGCATAGCGAGCGATATTTCATATGGAGAGAGCCGTATTCATCTGATGGAAATCGCAAAGCTGCCAACCTTGATAGTTTCAACGATCGATTCCCCGCTACAAAGAGAAGAGGTGCTTTTTCTGCGGCGCTTGAGGAGCTCACCATAGCGCTTCTTGGCCCGCCGTTAGAGATGATGGAGTCCGTTGAAGCGGAGCAAGCTGGAGCAAACCATTTTCCTCCGTGTTCACCGGTGTGGTGCGCGCGAGAATGAATGTGTTCATGATGTTGAGTCAGCGTTTCTATTGCGGGAAATCAGACCACCGTTTCGCAATAGGCTGTGCTTCCGATGTGGCTTAACAAATCCAAATAAAAATCGGTGATCATGAAGAAATGCTTCTGGAGAAGAGAAGGAATGCGAAAAAAAACTTCAAATAAGCATCGATCAGCTCATCGGCGCTCACTGACTTACACTGGAGTAGAACATAGCTTCCACTAGTCAACGTAATAATTAAAGCGCCAGCGGTTGACTGCATTGCCATATACGCACTCATTAGAAGTCAAGGAGATGTAACAGAGGCGACAGCTGCAGGCGCTGCTGAAAAAGGAGCACTGCCATAAACAAGGAGACCTCCCTTTTCTGCTCGGCCTGCTCTTCCTTTACTTTATTTTACAAGCGCTTCTCTTGCGTGTGTAGTAGTTGTTCATTGCTTTTTCCGTAATTCGTACGTGTATCATTCAATTACGAGGTTGAGATTTTTTTATTGTGAAGTCACACCGGCACAGGACCAGGGACGGTGGGCTATGGAACAGACACCGCAAACAGTGCGAAGGATTCAGGTTACTCTAATTAGATATGCTCGCTCTACTTAATTGATATGCTCGAACGAATTTTAACACGTTGACGACAACGCGTGTTTTGGGATTTTGCGCCGGGTGGGACCACGGCAATTTTGCAGGCGCCGCCGCCTCACATAAAATCTGTGAATTTTGAGCTTCCTTCGCAAAGCTCGGAAACAACAAATTTTTCAAATGATATTCGATGTATCAAACTTATCATAGGGGGCATTTGTAAAAGTTCGTGCGAATTGACGTTTTCTGGCAATGAAAAGGCATGTTTTTGTTGCTTTTGCTGTCGTAAACCTCAAAATTATTTCTGACACGGTTGCTCCACTAAAAACATATATCTTGCTATATGTGTAGGTCTGTACTTACTTCTACTATTCTTTTTTATGACCAATGTTGTCAGGATTTGGAGAAAACCAGGAATGAACACAATTCGGTTGACTTGGAAAACTTTCGCTAAAATGGAGCTACCATTCGATGAACCTCGCCTTGTCTAGTAATATTATGGGGTGGTCCTTAGAATATATGCAAATAGGAAAAGATGTCGCGCATACGTGAAAAAAATTAATAATTTGTTTGTGCAGCGTATGCGCTGCACACGGTCCCACACGGTCCTCATGGTGTGCAGCGCATGCGCTGCAGAATGTCGTCAACATGTTAAGCATCTGCCGGCAGTTGTTTATCATGGAACGACCAGTTGAATTGCAGTAAAAAACCGGTAATATCATGTAATGTCGGGCTATCCAGTTTCTAGCTCCTCAGTTCTCACGAAAAGGCTCTGCACCAGTTTCTCAGGAGGAACTTTGCAAAAAGCTTATCCGAAGCACGTACTCTTCTCAAGAGGCTTCCCGCGAAAACTAGTTGTTTAGGTGATAATTTCCAATGAGAAAACGGTCTACTCAGAGGATCCTCACACCGATGCATTTTTTTTGAAAGATCCCCGTGATTAACCAAAACACTTCTAAACCCGATTATGGTGAGGGAAGTATCATGCTGAAAGGCGAGTTCCACAATGATGAATGCTCTAGATCGTCCGTGGCTCCGTGCACACGAACTGACAGACAGGAACACCAGGGCGAGGTAGGCCGTCAAATAGTGCCTTGTAGCTCAGACGAAGAGGAATTCATTATTCAGGCAATACGGCTACCCGCGTAAGTCTGTCCACCAAGTCGTGCATAGAGGAGACAAAACGCAATGGGCTAGTTAGCTTCCTCTCCTTACATAGCTCCCGTTGAGACATCTGAAGCTTTTCGTCTGAGATATCGCCATCAGGAGAGAATTTTGCTGACCTGGCTGATTATTTTGGGACTTATGATTGGTTTGGTATGAAAAAGGCCTTTAGTTTCTGAGGTGCATCCATTTTTGGTCTGTCGGTCACAAACGGTTTAGTGCCTAATATGCCTCGAATTTTTCTCTTGCGATCATGAAAGTGGTGTGAACTAAGACAGTTCAAATCGCTATGGCTACCAGACATAATTTCAAACAGATTGATGTGTGGCCCCTAATCAATCTGTTCGAAGGCGTATGGAGGCGAATGCTAATGGCGCGTCCATATATTATACATTGAACGCACTGCGTTAAAACCCCAGTGTGCGCCCACTTTATCTATACCCACTGACGGCCTCTGTAGTTTGTGTGCGGTGTTTTCAAGATTTTGTTATCATTAGTCGCTATCGTTCAACAATTTCCTTACTTTTTACGATTACGGTGTTTTTTGTACACAATATAGTATAACATGCTACTCGAAAAACAAAAAAGCTCCAAAGAATAAAGCAACAAAAGGATCACGATGGAACACTTCGAGTGGCTAATGTGTGATGGGAGATGGAACCCTTCGATTTCAGTTCCTGTCATCACTTTTCAGCAGCTACGAAACTAACAGTGACGGGTAATGATATCAAAGCAAAGAGTGTTCTGTTTGTCTGATCTATCTTGCAAGATATCACACGAATAGATGACTAAGACCAATGTTCAAGTTAGATCGGTGCATTTGGGTAGAAGCTGTCGTTGTGCAACTATAACCATTGTCGTACAAGCGCGTCGTCCTGTGAAATCTCTCATAAGGGTACACATTCGCAAAGATGCTCAGTCTCGTCTTGATACTGGCCATTTTCCTTGGAGGAAAACCACACTCGAACGCTACTGCTAAGTGCTAGGTTTTTATTAGCGCTCTGATGAACCAAATGACTTCATCGGGATAAAGACTGAGGTTCAACACCTTCTGTAGAAGAACAAGGCTAGTTGATAATATATTCGCGTGGACATGGCGAAAATGCTAAAATTTATGTACATGTATAAATAAAATAAATGTATATTTGGATAGAGCCTTTTTCGCCCTCTTATGATAGAATTAGGCTTGCTAAAGAATAGAAAATAATAAAAATAATAAAGTTCAAGCCTCCTATCAACAGGAGAGGACATGACTATTTCTGTTTATCGAGCACGAGCACTGCTGAATAGTTGCTCAAGTTTAAACACCCTAACTTCAATGTTGATGATGACCCTATAAAGTGAGGTTGCTGAGACTCTGGCATCAGTTGAGATTCTGATTTTTGATCAGTGGTTGATAATACCAGCAGGTTTCAAAACATTACCCAGGTTATGAACGTGGCAAGGAGTCTGGGCAATTCTACTACGGGGGGCAAAAAAAGGAGTCACTCTGCCCATGGCGCATATCATCAAACTTTTCGTCGCAAAGGACACCGCTGTTGTCAAGAGTTATACGACGAAACATTCCTTAGATGTCCTCCCATCAGCATAATCAGGTCCACCTTCGCTGCGTTCACCGTCTCCAGAATATGACGTCATCTGTCATCACCGTCAAGCTCAAGGAGGCCCACATAATCGCCCCATTTGGGAGCTGCTATGTGGTTTCTTGAATCGGCTAACTGGTGAATGGTTTCTTAGGGACACTAGATCTGACTATGCAACATGGCTTTTGACCAGCGTTCCAAAGACGTCTGAATCGTCTATGGTTTCTCGACATTCTCGTTGAGCTCGTACCGCGAAACATGTTTCCGTGGGAAAATCTTCTAATGTCGTCGCTGTAGAAAGGCTCTATGTAATTTTTTTTCGATAGAATAGAATTAGCTCTTCAAAATGCAATTGAGCTCATTCGATTTGGTTTTTGCTAAAAGTAATAATTCTGTTTTGAATGTGAGTGAGAGTGACTCTTTTTTTTGCTCCCCCCCCCTGTATAATGTAACCTGCATCAGCACACCGCCCGTTCCTTGTATAGGCCTCCCTTGTAGAGGCATGGAGTGATAGAAGTGTTTTTGTAAAAATGTTAGCTACCGGATATTAGCAGGAAGGCGGTATTATGCATGAATTCGCATCGTCCAAAGAAAAGCGAAGCAAATGAAAGAGTTCTGGCAATTTTGCCGAGTGCGGCAGATGGTACTTTCAAAAAGGCGAAAGGACCTTGTGGATACTCGGAAAGTCGAGAAGAAACGAACCTGATTCTAGTCTGGATAATCCATTTCCACTTGGAGATGCAAAATATCTATCCTCCTTTGACGTACTTGTTGCTTGGGTTGGCACAGAACTTGCCGTTCGGATTACTGTGGTTGTTGT